TAACAATAATAATAATAAATGACATTTGTATAGCGCTCAACCCCGAGATAAAGTACACAGTCTCTGAGCGTTTTACAATACTGCATATTACGTACAAAATTAATATAAAACGTTATGTTCAGACTAAAAGAAAATCACTCCAAATATTCATCTTATTAATTCAAGATTAGAGGTGTTACAAGATAATGACAAGCACAAAAAGGGCGGGGGATAAGGACGGCAAATGTGTGATAGGAAAGAAGGTTAAAACGCACATGCGCACCCGCCACCCACCCACATAATAAGATCTCTAGTTATGGTATTGTATGGCATAATACTATTTTGAGAATGTCGAGGACAGAAAAGAAATCAAACAAGAAAATACTGAAAGAAGTCCAGGTGGCCTCTCATGAACGATAGAATAAATCGTGCTCGTAAAACCCACTTGCGTAAATATTATGTCATCGCATGGCAAGGTCTAGATGTGTCATGTTGATTTCTTTATTAGCGAAGATATTAATAAACGGCATATCTAGACTGACTGTGGCAGAGGTTGTTTTTTCGTCAAATCCGAAGCCTGTATCACCATGTGTCATATGACCTATAAAGTCTTTCCCGCATCCAGTCCGGACTTTGGGAATTGTCTTGTTAGTGAGACAACTTCCTAGACTTCGGCATTATTGTGGTAGAGTGGACAGTTAATTTCCACGCTGCCTTTACTTCCCCAACTCGAAGTCAGGTACTCAATACTGCTGGCTGGGCAGGACGGAGCAAAAACAATCCGTCTCCGAACCGAGGCTCGAACCCAGACTATCCGTTTTGGAGACGAGCGCACTAACCGCTCTACCACCGCACCATGCCTATATTATTTTCGTCAAATCCCTAGCCAATTTCACCTTGCGTCTTATGTTAGTCGATGAAGTCAGTACGACATACCTATATTGATAATTGATGTCCGTTGGAAAGTTTCCAACTTGTAGATACAGTCGATAGAAAACTGAGTGGTCTGTGGGTCTCACCTTCACACACACCTGGCCGTTGGGGTCGCTGAAAAAAAGGTGGGAGTGAACGTTACGAATTATTCTTTGCTTCGTTTTCGTTGAAATGTGGCTGTCTGATTAATACAAAGTGTACTAAAGTTGAGGAAGAAGATGCGACTGTCAACCCTGATAGCGTAGCGAGCAGTGTGTAATTGTTGAATAAACCAAGAACAGGAATGTCTAAACTTAACAGTGGTGAGAGTATCGAAAAATCAGAAAACAACGTCTAGACGGTTATTAAATTGATTACAAGATTGTACGACCAACAACGGTCACCATTGCAA